TTTGATTTTTTGTTGTGGATAGAAGTAATTATGCCACAATATTACATGAACATTGAAGAACACAATTGGAAGAATGCATGACATTTATGTTGGGGTAATGGAAAGGGTTTATTTTGTCTATTATGGTTTCTCTCGCTACATTTTAGCAATTATTGTAAGTTGTTGTTGCTGTGTGCCGTGTATTAGCGTGTTGGCAGTGCGTCTCATCAACAAGGCAGCGGACCCAGGGTCAGAAGGCCAGGGGCCATGATCCCGCTGAGGCAAAATGAGGAGGAAGATACCCTGGACAGGTTAATGAGGGAGTCAGTTAATTAGGTTAACTCATAAACTTATATGAGTTAAGTCTCTCTCTGTACTCAGAGACCAGTTTATACCATCAAAAATCTGTTTTCTGTATTATTTGCTTGCTTATTATGCACCAGTCTACCGGTGTATAAAAATGACCTCCGACAAGAAAGCCTAATTTCCGCAGTCAGAAAGAATTATAATCTTTCTGACTGTCTGAGTCAAAACTGGATCAAATCGAATCAAATCACCAGGTTGGGGCCTTGATAACCCTCTTGTCATGTTTACGCTGTGTGGCATAAAAACACAGTAGTCCAAATCCAAGAAGTTCAGGGGACTGACCTGGAGGTCAGCAGCACTGGTGTTCAACACACAGTTCAGGAGGCAAACCAAGGAGCCAACGGCTGTGACAGAGATGGAGCAGTTCTGGGGACTGACCTCATGAAAAGCGGCAGCGGCAACACAATTCAGGAGGCCACTCATGGAAGCGAAGATCCTTGGTCAACAGATCTAGAGGGCAATGGTGGTGATGAAGGCTTTGGAACCAGAAGAGGGAGATGAAGGAATCAAAGGGCTTTGGTAGGCTTGGATGGTAACTGTCGTCGGTGCGGCTTGGTGGATGGATGTAGACGTGCAGGTTGCGCTGGAAGTGGATGTAACTGAACGCTCTTGGGTGGCTTGGCAGATGGCCGGTGTGCAGTACCAGACAAGGCAGGACAAGATGAGGCAGGCCAGATGCCGTGTAGCAGTTGCAGGTGGTTGAGCAGGTAGTTGCGGGATGGACTCTGCAGAGCGTCTGACGGGAACAGGTGGCTGAGCCTCCAGCAGGAACAGACGGTTGTGTGGGAGCTCTCCCGAGTCTCCAGCAGAGACAGACAGCCTGGAGTGACCCTGACCTCAGTTCTGACAACATCCAAAATGGAATTATCATCTTCCACAATGCAGGGAAACTTACATCTTTATATCTTTATTCTTTTTCTGGCAGTCTGTTGCAGATTTTCTGCGGTGCTTGGGATCACTACTGTGTTTGGGACCCAGTTTTATCCAAGCTTGAGCTGTGGTAAAGATCGCCTCACATTTGACTCTAGAAATGTTTGGTATACAGAAAAGTTCATGATGAACTCGCCAATCACAAGGTGCCCGGGTCCTGTTGTTAGGAGGTGGTGGGTAGGTGTATAGTTGTTTTTGGGTTTTGTTTCCCTTTTTGGCATAGGTAGGCGAGGCGGGGCTTGATGGCATTCCGGCACACCTGCGGCGCATTGGACGTCATCAGTGAGCGCTTTTATGGAGCTGAGTCACGGACGTCTGGTGTTGGAGTATTGTCGCTGTCACAAGTGGTAATGTGTTGGTGCCAGCTGAATCTGTTGATCCCACGCTATTGAGCTGCATGTTTTTTAGGATCCATCTTCTGCCTGCTTCTCCTTTGTTCTAGCCTGTCCCGCTGCCTGCTCGCCTGCCTAGTTTTCTTTGTGTTGGCTTCTTTGGATCCGTGACAGAGAGTTACTTCATACCAGTCTGTGACCACCGCTACAGCTGTAGTTCTGTGTTTCAAGTAAGCTCTCCAACTCTCCCCGTCCACTTTAGTTTAACTCTCGGCTATTGACGTTACTCGGTAAACTTTGTTTGTCCCTCGTTTTCAGGTAGCTCCGGTGCATCATCTGCCCACCCGCATACCTCGGCTCCGTCTCATCTCTTCAGCTCTGCTCTCCTTGCACATTTTTACCTGTCACTGTATATAGCCCCTTCCCTTGTAAATATTTCCCCATCATTGTATATAAATCTGCATCACTACTATCTTGTGCCCGTATGTGTTTCTGCCACTAAATCCATCCGTGTAAGTTCTAACACCTGTGGCTGCAAAGCAAGTGCAAACGATTGATCATCCCTCCACTACCATGCTGACAGTTGGTGTGAGGCATTTGTGCTGATATGTAGGATTTGGTTTTACTTAAACAAGGCAAATAAATCCAATTCGCTATGTGTACTAAATACAAAAAATATTTATACTATGTGAAAAAGTATTCACAGTAAATTGTAAAGAAACGACTTTTCCCCCCTAGATAATTTTATACACTTACACTGTATTCCCAGTAAAAAAATATGTGAAATACAAGGAAGGAAAAAAGCCGCAACTACAGGATGGGCCATTTATGGATACACCGTAATAACATGGGAATGGTTGGTGATATTAGTTACGTTGAAACCAAGCACACCATTGTTTTTCTTGTGACATTACCAATAAGTTTGATGTGTCACATGGCCCTCTTCCCATTTAAAAATCAAAAGTTGTATCCAAGATGGTCGACTTCTAAATGGCCACCATGGTCACCACCCATCTTGAGGAGTTTGCCCCCTCACATATACTAATGTGCCACAAACAGGACTTTAATATCACCAACCATTCCCATTTTATTACGGTGTATCCATATAAATGGCCCACCCTTTACTGTTGTGTTTGGTAAGAAAACATACTATCACCAGGCTCAAAACTCTGTTATAAATTGCATTGAAAATGTGGACTGTCATGGCTTTAATTGGAGAAGCAGATTTTTGTATGTCAGCCACTCATATAACAGAAGCCTTCATTATTAACAAACAGTGCTAAAAGGCTATCATTGAAAATGATAAAGACAACAGGAAACATGTAAAAGCAGGTGGAGGCTGTAGCTTAGGTCAAATTTTTACAAGTCATCTTATTCTCATCTGTACTTTTAATATCAGTAATGTATTGTAATAACACCATGTCAGTGACACTGGGTTTTTGTTACACACTTTAATACTCTCTAGGTCTAGGTTTGCTCAATGTTACTTTCTTTTTTTTTTTCCAAAAAATTAACTAAATATTTGACAAAAATCATGTTGAAAAAAAAGGAACCACAAGGGTTTGCCTTTGAAAATAGTGTTGCATTTCTACAGTGCTGGTAATAAATTATTCTTAATTATCTTGTGTCATCCTGCACGATTAATAATGCATGTGCAAATAAAACTTATTTTAATGGCCCAGTTTTCTTCTGTAGTAACTTTGCAAATAATTTTTGCATCTCTTTGGACTGTACACCATAAATAATGGGGTTGAGGCTTCCAGGGATGATGTGAAACAAAATGGAACAAAGTTTTCTGTAATCTGAGTACTGTGGAAAGCGATGCAACATAATGACAATCATTCCGCTCAACAGCATAATCAAGTAAACAACCAGGTGGGTGCTGCAGGTCTTCAATGCTTTACTGTTCAAAGACTTGTTCTTACTGGTTAGACAGACAATTGTTATACTAGCATATGTGAGAACAATGCTGCCTATAGAACCTGTAAACAGGACCACAGTGAAGGTGAGCCCATAGACATTATTAATGAACACATTTTCACAGGAAAGCTTAAAAAGAGAGGCATTGTCACAGTAAGGGTTTGTAATCAAAGTCCTGCATCGACTCAGTCGTACAGTCAGTCCAAGCAGAATCCCGACCAAAACAAAGGCCACTCCCCAGGCAAAAACCGTCAGCTTGATCACCATTTTGTTGGTCATTATGGAAGCATATCGCAGAGGATTACAAATGGCCACATATCTGTCAAAGGCCATAATCATGAGCACAGTGTGACTCGTGGTACCAAACATATGTGTGGTAAAAGCTTGCACCACACATTCATAATAACTGATAAAGCGTTCAGATGGAGGCTTCAATATGTCTATCAACAATCGAGGTACCATGATAGAGTTTCCAAGAATATCATTAAAAGGCAGGTTGCAAAAAAGCATATACATAGGCTGGTGAAGGTTCTTGTCCATGAAAACTAAAACAACAATCCCTCCATTTGCTACTATTATAAACAGGTAGAAGAACAGCAGGAGAAGAAACAAAGCATATGTGGACTCTACTGAAATATTCAACCCTTCCAGCTGGAGTGTGAGGATGTTGTAGGTGTAGTTCTCCATCATCATGAAAGAACAAAATGGTAAGTAAGCCAATCAAGTTTGTGGTAGGAAAAACGTGTTTTGATTTCAGTTTTAAATGAGAGGTATCTACTCTGTCTTTTGTCTATTGTCTGCGCTTTCTTGTTCCTGGTAGTTCACAACTGGCAATGCCTACACAGAATGCGCTCTGCTGCAGTGTTATATGGGCATCATCTCAACCATGCAAACACTTAGCTTAAGCAATGTATGATGTCATACAATGAAGACAACAACAACTGTCAACAATCTGGGGAATAAAATTTGTGGGCAATGAAGTAATGTTTGTCTGCTCAAGCTTCACTTCCCACTGGTAGCACTTAGGCTACGTTCACACTGCAGGCAAAAGCGCATCAAATCCATTTTTTTTACCCTCTGTGACACATATCCCATCATGGTGTGACAGTGTGAACGGCACAAATCCGATATTTTCAAATCTGACCTGGGTCACTTTCGTATGTGGTGCTGAATCGATACATATCTGTTTTAGAAAGCGACTGCTGTTTGATGGTCACGTCGCATTAAATCCGTCTTTTACGTCACTGACAGAAGACAGACGCCAATTATCAGCGCCGGAGAAGACATCACGAACGCTTCCTGTCCATCCAGTGTAGATGTCAGTGAAACTGTTGGGAAGACAACGTTGGAGAAACGTGAACATTTTATTTGTTCTGTATAATCTGCAGATTCTGACATATGATATATAATATGTCACTTTAAACTGTTCAAATAACCCTGAAAATTGTCTTTAATATAATGGCAAAACCTTCTTTAACTTAACTTTTGATACAAATTTTTTTTTATCTCTTTGGATTGCATACCATAAATGATGGGATTGAGGCTTCCAGGGATGATGTGATACAGGACAGCCACAATTTTTCTGCTCCCTGAGTACTCAGGAAAGCGATGCAGAGTGATTATGGACATACCACTGAACAAAAAAATCAGATATACAACCAGGTGAGTGCTGCAGGTCTTCAAGGCTTTATTGTTCAAGGACTTGTTCTTAGTGGTTAGACACACCACAGTAATCTTAGTATAGGTAAGAACCATGCTACTGATAGAACCTGTGAACAAAAGCACAGTGAAAGTGAGGCCATAGACATTGTTAATGAACACATCCTCACAGGACAGGTTAAATAGTGCAGCATTGTCACAATAGGGGCTTTTGATCAGAGTTCTGCATCGGCCCGGTCTCAAGGTCAGACCAAGCAGAATCCCAACCAAAACAAAGGCCACCCCCCAGGCAGAAACTGTCAGCTTCATCAACATCTTATTTGTCATTACTGCAGCATAACGCAGAGGATTACAGATGGCTACATATCTGTCAAAGGCCATTATCATAAGCACTGTGTGAGCTGTGGTACTAAACATTTGTGTGGTGAAAGCTTGGACCACACATTCATAATAACTGATGAGGCGCTCAGACATGTCTACAAGCAAACGAGGGATCATGATAGAGTTTCCAAATAAATCATTAATGGACAGATTACAAAAAAGGATATACATGGGCTGGTGAAGACTCTTGTCAACAAAAACCAAAACAGCAATGCCCACATTTGCAACAATTAGAAACAAGTAGGAGAAAAAAGAAAAAGAAACATAGCATATGTGGCTTCCTGTGGGACATTTAAACCCTCCAGCTGTATTGTGAAGATGTTGTTTGTATTTTGCATGGACCTGAAAGAACAAGACAATTTCAAAGGCATTTCAAAAGCAATCCAGTAACTATCTAAAACATTAAATAAAGCTTTCACGCATGACATTCCCACATCTGTAAACAAGAGCTTATATCACAAAAAAAGACAGAGATCAGATACTTGTTAGTCCTGACAATTCTCAACTCCTGAAGTTGAAGTGTTGGACTGTTGTACATATAGTTCTCCATCTTGTCTGAAGTAAAAGCAGAAGGAGGGAAAAAGATTAACTAAAATTGAAATGTAATAAATTAAACATCAAATATTAGCAGTGAGGCAAACTTTTTTCAAAAGTCACACATTGTAAAATATTAATCTAGTATCCACCAGCAAATGGAGGACAAACACTATGATAAATATTTGTTCAAGGGAGAAAAATAAACTGAAAAGGACCCACAGAATAATGTTTTCTGAATGATCATACAAGATAATTTGTTATCATCTGAAGGCAAGAAGCAAACTGTTAATGATCACTTGAAATGCATCAGTTCATGTGCTTCTTGTTTCTCTGCACAGCTTTATCTTGTGCAGTGGTTGGACATGGGTGTCCACTGGGAAACTTTAATCCACCTCAGGATTAATGGTAAATAGTCATCAACACTCTATAAAAAAAATTAGGGGGAGAAAGAGTATTTCATATACTTTGTATTGAAAAAACAAGATGGTGCCAGTGTGCATAGCAGGCCGTCCTCGTCTCTGTTTCCGATCTTTCTTTTTTGATTGTTGTGTATTATTCGTCCTTCTTTTGGTAATATTCCTCTCTGATGTCAATGCCCATGCTGGAACTTAAGAGATGCTACTTTGCTTCATATATACCCGTCCACTGGTGCACTGCCTCTACCTTCCCTGCCTAAGAGGCACTATAGAAAGCGAAGCAAACTGTTAGGATGCCTGGGTCGTTGACCCAGGACTTTTGAGTTTATTATATTATTTGATTTATTAATACTTTATTTATCCAGGTAAAAAAAAATCTCATTGAGATTAAAAATCTTATTTCCAAGAGAGACCTGGCATCATGGCAACAAAAGTCACATACCACATAGGTATATGTGACACATAGGTTTAAAACAAATATAATATCCCATACCAACATGTGTAAAATATACAATAACAGATCAAATTAAGAGTACATTAAAAACAATCACACTGAGTAAAAGAGCTGTTCTCTTGTTCCTTTAAGACAGACTTAAACTCTCCCAAGGTAACCAATTCTGATAATTTCAGTTCCTTCTGCAGATTATTCCAGGAAGCAGGGGCAGCGTATTTAAAAGCCCTTTTCCCCAATTCTGTTCTGATTTTTGGGACAATCAATTGAATGATTTTGTTCGAATGAAGGCTGTATTGGTTGTGGTTTTTACACATATAAACACATAAATAAGATGGAATCAGCCCAAGGAGAGATTTATAGATAAAGATCAACCAATGGGAGAGTCTGCGAATATGCAAAGATGGACATTTAGCAGCAGCATACAAAGAACAATGATGTACATGATTTCCATAGCCAGTAATAAAATGTAAAGCACAATGGTACACAGTATCCAACCTCTTTAGGTAGTGGGCAGGTGCATTCATAAAAAGCAGGTCACCATAATCCAATAAAATAAAACAATTCCCCAACAGCTCGTATCAGAACAAATGACCAGACCAGACATCCTCCAGCTTCTGTCACCTGAGGGGCACCAGACAGGGATGCCCACTCTCCCCTTCACTTTTTGCAATTTTTATCGAACCTCTAGCAGCAGCATTTAGACAGGCTACAACAATTAAGGGCATAAAATGTAAGAGCATAGAACATAAAATCAGTCTCTATGCGGATGATGTGTTGCTTTTTCTGCAAAACACACAAACCAACCTCTCTGAGGTAATTACTCTAATAAACTGGTTTTCAAGAGTTTCAGATTATTCAATTAACTGGCCAAAATCTACAGTTCTCCCCATTAACTGCTCCTTCCATAATTCTTCCTCTGCCCCACTGCAATCCGGAAATATTAAATATTTAGGTATTAATGTCTCTCCTAAGCTTTCAGACTTAACTAAATTAAACCACATCCCACTTCTAAAGAAAGTAGAAGGCGATCTGACTAGATGGAAATCTTTACCCATATCACTCATGGGAAGGGTCGCCACTATAAAAATGATGATCTTGCCAAAAATGAATTACTTATTTTGATGATCCCTAACAAACCATCACAAGATTGGTTCAGATCTCTGGATTCATATATTTCCAAATTCCTTTGGAAAGATAAACCCCCGCGTATCAGCTTAAAAACGCTACAAAGAACCAAGGATAGAGGAGGATTAGATCTGCCTAATTTTCACCAATACTTCTTAGCCAACAGGCTTCAGTTAATCTCAGAATGGTCAAAACATACCTTCTTAGATGAGCCCTGGCTAGATGTTGAACAGGCACTATGCAAGGGTCTAGAGATTTCAGACCTACCATTTATTAGCTCAAACATCAAAAGACATGAATGCTTTAAAAGTATCAACATCAGCTTCTCTCTGACAGCATGGTGGGAGTCTTCATTAATCCCATGTAAACGTACACCTATCTGGAATAACCCTGACATATTACAAAACAATAATATGATTAATTTTCCAGAATGGAGTTGTAAAGGAATTAAATACTTAGAACATATATTAGAGGGAACAGAATTTATTCCATTTGACAGACTAGTTGCACAATATGGGATCAACAAGATAAGATTTTTAGAATATCAACAAATTAAATCCATAGTAAAAAAGAAATTTAACCTCAGTCAAGTTGAATTACAAACACCACCAAGTGCGGCACATTTCCTTACTCTTAAATCCCCCAAATTATTATCTAAAATATACAGAACACTTTCTAAATTAGATGAATCAATATCCCTTCCTATTGCAAAGTGGGAAGCAGATTTATCAGTCAGCTTAAACCAAAACTTCTGGTCTCAGGTATGCTTAAAAACCTTTAAATTAATTAAAAATCCCAGTCTGCAATTAATACAATACAAAATACTACATAGAGTGCACTATACAGGTCATCGGATGTTCAAGATGGGCTTTACATCTTCCAACAACTGCTCACACTGTCAAGGCAATACACCAGACAGGCGACTAGAGGATCATCAGGGGGTCCTTTTGTCCCTCTGTGGGGGGTCACTCCCACTAGGTTTATATCTGGGACTCTCCACCATTTGACCTTAGAACTGAAGAAGCTTCTCGGATGAGAGGTGAAACGTC